GTCTGAGGAAAAGATAAAGATCCCACATGCTTGGAATCTTATCTATTTTTATTATTTCTTTTATTTATTTTTTATTTACAGAATATTCCAGTCTTATTAATTTTGTATATTTATAGATAAAGATGATGAATGTGTCAAAGGAATCAACATTGTATTGAGTAATGATATGTCTAAAGGTACCATTCTTTGTTTTAGAATTCCTCTGTCTCTAATTTCACATATTAGACTTCCTTTGTGTTTATGGTTTATCTTTAGATTGTAACTCAAGAAATTATTCTGTAGGTTACTTTAGTCAAAGACTCAATCTTCACATTTGGCAGTTCAAGCTTCTCATTCTACTGATGACAAGAACAGGGTGTATAACCAGCTTGGTTTGTCTTCTTTGCCTTTTTTTCTTCTCTCTCTCCATTTTCATGTGCTTGGGTTTATCATGCTTTCTTGGTATTGTAGTTCAAAATGGGTGTCTAATTTTTGAATTGATTTGGGATTTCAAATGCTAATAAGTATCAACTATTTGAGTTAATGTCACAAAGAATTATCTTTCCTGAAGAAATGAGAGTGCAAATTAGAGAGATATCTAAATGTTGGCATTTAGTTTTGTAGCACCTTGGATGTTACGTTTTAGAGAAATTGAAATTTTTTGCATTGCAATTCTCTAATTCTCAAAGAACATTTGGTGTTTTTAATGTAATGTATTTTCCAGTTCCCATTGTTGAGACTTCAGACCTGCCTAGAGGATCAGAGTTCTCAAATCAAAGCTGAGGAGTTAGTGATTTATTTTAAGATATTGTGTTTTCAAAACAATTGTTCTTGAGAATAAGCTACGAGTTTTAACAAATTCTTTTGCAGCTGTTGTTTATCTTTTCAAATCTCTTACATCTTTATCATCCTTTCTCACTTGAAATTGGATATGTTAGTTCAAATGGTTTAGGTTTGTTTTCATTGAAAATATTGAAGATGTAATTCTCTGTGTAGAGATGTTAGCACCAACTGCCCTGAAATTTGAAGAAGCTAGATGAATCAAATAAGAGGAAATGATCTGTGCCTATAATCTATGGGATGATCTTGCTAAATCCAATGAAATTCATGTCAAGTTAGTGGTAGTGCCAAAGTGGTTAATGCTCTCAAGGACCTAAAATACAGGGTATTTATTTATTTTTATTTTTATTTTTTTTTGAAATTAGTTTTAGTTGAGCTTTCTTATAACATATGCTGATTTTATTTCATAGAAATGAGCACATATAGTATTGACTTGTATTGGTTTTGTAGGCTAGAGTAGCATGACAGAGGTTTGACCTATAGCTTTCAAGGCATAGCATCATTTGCTAAGATAATTGAGATTTTAGAAAGGTTCAGTGTTCTTGGGTTTAGCTAGATGATACCCACATGAATTGTTGCATCTGTGTACCACCTTTATTTTAATTGATTAGAATCTAAATATACTTCTAAATGCATATTAGTTGTACCATTCTAATATTCAGTTCATAACAATGTTAGAGACAAAAGGATTCTTCAGTATGATTCAGTTCATTAGTCTTGGTTGAGTTTATATGAGAAATCAGGAGCCTTGCCTATTGAATCTGGTTAGTTTAAAAGAAAATGTTCAAATGCATCTCTAACATCTCTGTAATTTTGGGTTTTTTTTGGCAATGCCTAGTGGTAAAAGAGTCTGTCTAACTTTTAGCTTTTTTAATGTTACAAAATTATTTCATGCAAAATGGTTAATTGGTTTTAGCTTTGATGATTCCAGCTTTCCCTTTTT